GAACACAAAAAAAGCAATTTCCACTTCTGTTGCTCAATTCAGATGTGTCTGTTTACACCACAACCGTCACTACATACAAAGTGATAAAATGGCACACTTTTTTTGCAGATCGGACTACTTTTGAGATGTGTGAGCAAGGCTAGCATAAAGTCTGATTACTATTTACTTCTTTCGCACTCCTGAATTCAACGACAGTAACGAAGAGCTCGGCCAAGCTCAGTTTCTGCATGTTAAGAAAATTCAAAGGTAGTGATGGCAGTTTAGTCAAAAAGATTATGCTTCTGGATGAACGTTTTTTTTGAAAGATTTCGAGTTGTTTCCATGACGTAATTTTTTCTATTGATTGTGCACAAATCTGATGAAAAAAAACTTTCTTTTACAAAATTCGTCCATCGTCCTGTTTGCACTGACTTTTTGAGTTTGACAACCCGAAAGTGCAATAATTTTTTCTAAGTAATTCACATCGGCTCGTTGCCTCAGCATTTCTGGATAAGACCTGTAATCACACACTCAAACAATGAAGAAGCTCGCAAAATGGTTGTAAAACATGCATCGATTGTAACAGTTCATTGAAAACCGCGCTCATGACTTTGATTCTAATTAATGGACAGACTATTGGTAAGAACATTGGAATATAGCAGTTCCTCCAGTTTTGTGCAATTGCACAAACCAAGTCTGCATTACGTTGTTAAACGTAGCAATCAGAACTACAATTAAAAATATTTTCAGAGAATATTACTTGTAGCTGAATGGAGATTGTTTTCAGAGAACAATTCTCTTTTAACCGAAACGCTTCGCAGAAGAAATAACTTGCTGTTTGCCAAAAGAAAAAAATCCTCAGTGCTTCTGAACATGTTCAGATATCCAGATTGATATTCTGATCAGAAGAAATGACCGCATTTTTTTTTGAAAGGTGATCAGCCGAAGCTGACAATAAGCAATGGAGGCAAAGTTTTTTTTTGTCGCACTGAAATTCATTCTTGGGAATGAAAAGAAACTGTTTAGAACATTTCACGTCACCCAGTTTTTTATTTTTCCCTAGAAAAGGATGGTAATGATTCTTTTACAGATTTCAGCAGAATTCAGGAACAATCACACCATAAAATTTTCTGTATTGGATCTGGACGTTGAAGAAACATAGATAGCTTTCTTAGATTGAAAATTAGTCGTGAATTACCACACATGATGTTAGGATCATTTCCCCTGAAGTTTTTACACTTATAACTCAAAAGCTACATATCGTAGTTTCTGCAGTGGAAACGTTCTGTTTGTATAATTTACTATGCCAAAATGTACTATTAATTTATTTTGTATAACTTGGTTTGCATTTTCATGTTGTCTATGTCGAAAATGGGCTAATGCTTCCAAAAACGCACTATTTCAAAATTATCAAAAACAATTGAAAAAAAAGGAAACATCAGAACATGAACGACATCATGTTTGTTTTGTTCACGAATGTAGTCTTGAATTTGGTCGCAAGACTGCAAGACAATTTTATGCAACTCAGTTTGGAAAAAATCCGACTATCAGAGTTTTAATTTTTTTTCTGCTGTCGAGATATTTCTCAACGTGAGTTTGTTTACACCTATTTTGCCGCACCGCTGCGATTATCTATAAGCACAAATTTCTTTGAAACGGCAGTTCAAAGAATGGAAAAAATATTTTGTTCTAGGCAGCGAAAAAAAATTTCCCTTTTCTCTAACACTCAAAATTTGCCACTATGTTGAATTAAACACAGTTTGTTGTGCTCAAATCTGCATCTAAATCTTCCTCTCCGTTTTCTAATCGATCGCATTATTTATATGCTGTATAACCATATGTCACTCGGTTCAAATTATACAATGCCTTATTTTATTATACTTCCTAAAATTCCACATGTTGCTTAACTACTTCATGTAAAATATAAATTCAGAATTACTAATGTCATCCAATATCGCTCAATACTTTCGGTTTCTATGTAATTTCTGCTCACCACGCTATTTTTTTTATTAACATGTTCTCAACAAGTTCCCTTCCAACCCACAACTTCCCCGTATCAACATTCAAATACCGGTCACATTATACTCCTAAAATCTCCACGCCAACTATTCCCCTTTGTCAATTTCCGAGATATAATACGCTGTTCACTTCCTACAACTACATGTTACTGCCTCTTCCAAGCAGTCCCCTACGTCACATCGTTCATTCCGTATATCTCTCCGCTTGAGGACAAGCTCGCTCTATACCCCTAGGATGAGGTGAAGGTCGTGTTTGGTTAACCAATCCGCCTAAGCCAACTCTTCTACTCAATCAAGCAGAAGATAATGGTACTGAAATCGGAGTTCCTTATGGTCTCGCCGTAACACGTGTACCCTTTACACACGTAACTCGGAAGACATTCAACAACAGCCGAACAAGCTCGAGGACGAGCTTTCTGAAGGAATGGAGATGTCGGGACGCAGCTAAGCTCCGCCTGCTGCTCTCCCGTGAGCTGGCCGAGAAGGTCAGATAGGAGCCAGTGACCCCCTACGACCGCGAACCGTAAGGCTGCTTAGTCAGTCCTCCCTCTTCCCCTTTCTTGTAATATATGTAGATAATAAATATATATAATACCAACCTGTACCGCTACACATCAAGCTAGGGCCCGTACACCCCTAGACTTGACAGACATGTACCCTACAAATTGTCGCACTTTCAGATTGAGGGCGCGTTGACTCTGCTTTCGTCGCTCATAATTTTATGTAGCCATCCTTTGCCGGCCTGGGTTATTAATTACAACAAAAAATTGGCCAAGTGCGGCTATAAGAAGCGACAATGTGGTAAATCATTTGGAATAAGCATTGAAAGCATAACCAGAACAATCTGTCATTCCAAAAGGTTGATGCACTCAAATTAATGTAATCCTGCTGGTCTTGTACGCTATAAACTTGCTAAAATGCGATTGTACTGTAAGAGCAGAGTAGTGTGATGTCGCTCTGAAGACTGTTTGTCAAAATTTCAAAACTGAGCACTTGCACGTATAAGCTATGAGAGATGCCATCCACGCCCATGACTCCGCCAAACCACATGTAAGAAAAGTGGCTCTCACAAAAGGGGTTGACTGCGCACCGAGGTTCCTGTTTATTTTTCAAACTCTATAGTCCTTCCTTTACCAGTTACCGAATTTTCCAATTCCTCGGTGCCTATTAAAAAATAATAGGACCTAATAGAGATTGACTAATCAAAAACGCCTTTTCAGGCTTTAGTGATTGCTCTGAGATCATTTCGCAAGAGAAAAGCACAAAAGCACTATAAGAGTGTAACCAGAAATTTGCTGAACACAATGCAGTTTACAGTCTGCCCCAATCCTAACCAGGCCAAAATTGGCTTGGCGGGAGGCGCGTCGCGAGGGTTTCGCGCCACTTCTGCGTCTAGCTAGTCTGCTCTCTCCTCAATCTCTTCGCTCTCCGCGACAGCGCGCGTATGCAGCGCAAACCCCTAGCGCTGCGAGCGCACAAATTCAGCCGACGGTTCGGCCTGATCCCGATTAAGACAGGCTGTATTTGATGGAAAAAGGTTGAATCAGAAAAAAATTGTGCTCGTTTGAATTTGGAGGTGCAAAAACTTTCCGAATGACCTAATACAAGCGCTCACGGAGGAATTTCGACAAGATATGCGACCTTTACATTTTGGGCAAAATTCATGAGGACGTGTTTTCGCAGGCTCGTAACTCGGCGAATTTCACAGAATGGAGCCTGAGTAATGCACCATTCGATAGCACAGTTCCTAGTAACTTTGACTGAGAAAAGCAAGCAGGTAAGGTTTCTGACATATACGCGAGAAGTGCGGCCAAAGTTACGTACTTTCGTGATGAAGTTACAGTCACCTCATCGTATCTCTCCAAAAAGACCCTGTAATCCTCAAAGACCACGATTTTCGTAAAGAGCGTGTTCGAAAACCTCTATAAGCGAAGTTTCCTTACAATTCAGGAGCATCAACATTTTGACCAAAATCCATCGACGAGCTTCTGGAGCGTAAAACGAGAAAAAATGGAATAACCCGAACATATCGGAATACTTGCTCACAGAGGTTATCCGACCTGCTGATTTCGAAATTCACATCTGCTTAGCAAGATAGCTTCGTATCCTGCGGCTATGGCGAGTAGAATTTGGGACGACAAGATTTTCCCACAATTCACCAGCCGTTCTGTTTTCTTTGAAAAGAAACCTGCGGCTACTATTTAGCACATCATAATCTACAGAAAAAGTGCTATCGAAAGATCCTTGCTGGAATTTAATCGGGATAATGCTCGCTGCTTTACACCTTCGCGAAAGGACGTCCTCAGAAAGATTCAAGAATACTGAAATCGAAAGATCAAGGACATGCTGTATACAGGAAGATTCGCCTTGATGAGCTGAGCAAGGCTCTGCTCTCGGATTCAAAACATACTCATTCCGAAGGAAGTTATGGCGAGTAGAATTTGAAAACGCGTGATTTTTCCAAAATTCACCAACGCTTCTATCTCCTTTGGAATGAAGTCTGAGCCTATTTTCTAGCGCACAATATTCTACAAGAACAGTATAGTCGAATAGTACTCTGTAAAGTCTTCTATGTTGGGTAGGCGTTGCTTCACATATTCGCGAAAGGACCTCCGCAGAACAAATTGAAAAAACTGGAAACGGAATACCGAAGACATCGTGCTCCCACTTCCAATATATCAGAAGATTCTCCGCGCCGAGCTGAATCGAATGGTGGCTTTGGATTCAGAATTCGTCCACTCTGAAGCGAGATATGGCCACGCGACGCTGATGTATGGACATGTCCATACATGTATGGACATGTACGGACATGTATGGACATGTCCATACATGTATGGACATGTACGGACATGTACGGACATGTCCATACATGTGTGGACATGTCCGTACATGTCCATACATGTCCATACATTCGCGTCTATTTTTCAAAAAATGTGAGCGGTATTGTAGACGATAATATTTTGCTTGTAATGAGCAGATTTCACTTGCCCTCTGAAAAAATTCTTTCAAACTTTTTAGTCACTTTTCCACTCACTCTTATTCCCAAACATTTACAACAAATATCACTGAAGGAAAGAATTGTACAGATATCTCATAATTTTACATTCCTTGCTCGTTTGGACCGTGCGTTATAGGATGAACAAGCAAATGTGTCATGACCATACTCTATAAATGATTTCTTTAACATATTTAACAGTGCCATTCAAAGCAGCTTATTACCTGCACAAAACTCGCAGAACTCTTTGGACGTGTAGGATACTTTTTCGGTAGTTTGCACACGAAATGGACAGTTCTACAGATAGTTCATTCTCTATACAAATGTACTCATTCAAAAACTGACCTCAGTCGCATGCTCGCCAAAGGTATTGCAATCTTCGCAGTAATATTCCTCGTATGTATCAGGACTTCTAAAAAGTCTGCATTTATTAAGGAATCATTTGGAAAACAAAGCGGCTTGTAAACAGTCGCGCATAATTTTACGATGCGAGACTCATATGATCACAGGATTTCTCCCCACTGACGGTATAGACGCCAAATTTTGCCTCTCGTCATGTACTTTTCATGCTTGGCTGTGCCAGTACACCTGAGACAGCTTCATCAAAAGAGTTCTCACGGGAGTAATCAATATTCAAAATCACAAAAAAAGATAAAACCGAATTAACAGCACAAATGATGGCTTTATTTGGGGGAGATAAGAAAGTCTCCTTTACGCCTTATTCAAAAATCAATCCGCGCTGCGTTTGTCATATTATATAACTACTGTGAATTTTAGCCAGAGTCTAATCTACACATTGCTGGAATTATCTACTTTTCACCCTTTACTACATCTATCCTCTAAATTCCCTCTCTTCTTGACTCCATATTTGACATGATAATACAGTATGTTCCACTTATAAGTAAACCGTTAAGAAGGTTCTGACCGCAAACGTAAGAGCCATTATTGACTCCTAGCGTAACTGAGTGGTTTTGGTAACCCTGTTTTTGGCAACCCGCTATGTTGTGTAATAAAGCGGATCGTTTTGAAGTGAGCAAACGCCCTTTCTATTGCCGGGAAACGGTAATATTCAGAATAATGTTTCTATGACTGAGATGAAGTATTTTATGGCGCGATCATCTTTCTTGGGAATAGACATATTGATAGAAGAGACACGTTCTGCACGTGTTTTTAAAGTGGAAGGAAATAAAGCAATTTTTAAGTGAAGAGATTGCGCTTACCTCCTTGGACTTGAGGATCGTGTGGAAACGTTTGGCACATTGTCGACTTCCTGAACAATCAATTTTTCCAACAGTTATTTTGCAATTATCACGCTGCATTCACGGCTTGCGGCGTCCGACTTACTATACAGCATCAAGGGATAAATTGGGGGTCGCATCAGGATACGCATAAGAAAGAAGGATCGTAATCGTATAGACAAAGAGCGACACTTCCTGCACCATCCTAGATTCTCCTCCCATCCATACTAGAAATCATGCTTTGATTACTGCCATACAAAAGTGGCATAGGTTCCAAGCAACGCTGCTCCATCCTTGGTAACAAAACCCCGTCAAAATGAGTAGGCTCAAAGCAGGGCCCGGCGGGGGTGGCGCTTTCACAAGCTGGATATCGTTTTTGGCCCGAAAAAGCAAAGGGGAAGTGGTTTTTTGGGGTCCGGGGCGGAGCCCCGGAAAAAAATTGGTAGTTCATGCTCGCTGCTTATCTTAACATGTTATGTCCCTCAACAGGCGAACACTGGAGTTCGCGCGTGTAAAACCGCGCCGTCGCTAACTGCCGCACGCGCGACGTCGCTCAAACAATGCTGTTTGTAACGCATAAATGACGAGTTCTCAATGTATGCGTAACGATATGGCACCAAATTTTGTAAGCGAACGGAGAGAGGCTAATGGAAACAAAGTATGAAAAATCATGAAAAACTTATGTGAACGGAACGAGTAATAAGCATTTTTTCCGAAAATTTTGTAAAATTGGTAAATGAAGATGCGCATTCAATTGGCTCGTTTGCAACGCGCAGATGACGGTATGCTACGAGACTTGGTACATACGTGGACACAAGTTTGTAAGAGATTAGTTAGGAGTTTCATTGAAAAATTATGTGACTGAAGGTTGTAGCAAGGTTTTTTCTGAAAATTTCCCACTATCAAGAAAATGGAAAAATGGCTCGTTTGAAATGCAGAGGTGACGAAATTGCGCGGGATTTGGTGTGTATATGCGCAGTAGGACTAAGTAACAAAGTATGAAAAATTATGAGAAACTTATGTGAATTTAAAAAATGGTAAGTGTTTTTCGAAATTAGGTGGCTCCCGCGCCACCTGGGAGCCACCTGGGGTGGCTCCCTGCTTTCCTTCACATAATTTCCCGGATTTCTTTACATAAATGTGGCTTAGGTCGAATGTATTACTACATGTTCAAATCCGCTTCCAAAACCACCAAGGCACCGCTTCGATACAGCCCCAAATAGGGTTCACAGCGTTATGGTCGGCCTCGGAAAGCGCGCTCCAATCGCAATCTGTGCACCTTGCACAGACGACGCGGAAACTTTGAGAAATTGGCTTTTTGCTAGATTACTGATCGCTGATTGAAGCAATCTTCTCAGTCTTCAACCGATTGCTTCTTCGATAAGCCCTACAAGGGCTCAGAAGGCTCAGCGATCATATTTGATCGTAATGTTCTATGCAAAAAAGTTGTTTTTGTAATCGTATTTTTTCAGTTTTCGCAATATGGTCAATTTTTCCGTACTTTCGCTCTTTTGGGTCGTTATTAATAAGTCGTTAGTAAGTGTAATTTTTGGCCATCCTCTCAAACGATGACCCGGGCCGGACCAGGAAAGCCAGGTAGTACTACTATAATAAGCGCTGAGGCCGCCCATCTTATTATTTGTGTATATCTGTTTGTCAGGGACTTACGGGGGCCAAAAATAGGGTCAAAGGGGAATTCGTAAGAAATTTTGGCTTCAAAGGGAATATCGTTTTCAAAATTCTGAAATGCCACCTCCTGCCGGGCCCTGGCTCAAAGGCAGTGTGTCCGAGCAAACCTGGACGCAAAGATCGCATGTGGTAACTAATTTTTGGGGCCTAATCAAAACATTATCCAAGCGACACCTCAGATGGTGCAATCAAAGCGGAGATATTCGCTTCCGAACTCCGCTTCCCTATTTGGAGGACGGCTCGCGTAGGACTGCATGCCATTGCGTGCGGACCCTCCGCCCACGTGCTAGGTCCCGGGCAAGACCCAGGAAGTCGACGACAGTCGCCCGCTAAGTACTGTATGGGGACAAGTGGCAAATTCTGCTGAATCGCCAGGACCGAAATCTTCATTTTTGTATGTATCGCTCGCCAAAACCTCTAGTCGCAATGGGAGCCCGTCTCAACTTCTTCTTCTCCTAAGATGGTCAATGATTCTTTCAAAAACCTTGAAGCAGACTAGTCAGAAAACTGTAGCAGACAACAACTTTACTTTTGCATCGTATTGTTATCGCAGGTCCGAGTCAGGAACCGTCCAACCTAAAGTGGTCTTGAGCTTTAGCAGCATATACGATGCACGTCCTCTACCGAGCCAATGCTCACGCTGCTGCGCAAAATCGCCCCGCAAGCAAGAAATTTGCTGTGAAACAACGACGAAAGCAGAAGACCTCGCGGAAACGCCCTCTGATGCCCGCCAATCCATGTTCGCCCATCAAAAATCACCCCGCGGATTCTCCGGGATGGGGATAATACCCAACAGTTGCACTTGCACGACCACGGTGCCTTCGAGGACAGTTTTCTCGGCGTAATGTGCAGGATAGACGAGCGGAACCAAGAAGCTTTTGAAGCAAAACCTCCAATAAGAATTTTTACGAACTCATCTTTGACCATTTGAGCCCTCTCATACTTCTCGCTTTCTTTTTTTTCTGGATAATAGCTTACCGCAGATTAGATGGTGTGTGGTGAGAGAGTCGCGCGCTGGTTTGCTTGAGGAGGGGGGGGGGGGACTTTGCGATCACAAAGCAGATTGGCGCCAACGAAAATTTTTGGAAGCTACGATAAAGAAGGTTTACGAAACTATTCCTTTCTTGCATGAAACTTTTGATGAGAAGATACACTTTCAAAGAGAAAGGTTACAGCATATAAGAAACAGCAACAAAGGATACAGCATCCATGAACTGCCTCCCACGTACCAGGAAAATTTGACATCTTTTAGTCCATTTTGAAATGATTTTTACAAAGCATTTTTAGTGAAACAAAGAAGCACTTTTGATTACCTAAAAGCTGTTTAACTGCTTTACATAAGAGCAAAACAATCTAACATTAGTAAAGCTGCTCCAATTTAGATTTTCATTCTTATCTCACGTCTTTTCTCTCAGACTAGTAAATCTTTCTTGTTTTCATCTTCTCTTAAGTAGGTAGATCAAAGAAGACTTCGTAAAACTTTTGAGTCAGGGGAGACTTCGCTTTCAGAGATCCTAGAAACCACTTATGCCAGGCCCTGTCGTTGCTGCTTGTCTTGACAGCTTCAAGCGATTTCAGAACGCCTTTCTCTTCCAACTCTTTCCGTCATGTACATTTACCCAGGAAAGACTACAAACGATGGCTCGTTGCTCAGGGCCCCGCACAGATCGTCTGGAAGCAGGCTGGACTTTGTTTTTGGAGCAAAAAGCGAGGGAGATATCGTTTTGAAGAGTCGGGGCCGAACACCAAAAATGAGCACCATTTAGTCGACACAAGCTTTTCGGACAGGTTATCTATCACACGATTGACATGCTCTGTCGTGTATGGCGGAAAGTGCGCGCAATTTGAAAGCAAAGCTAAAATAAACAAATTGCTTGTGTACAGCGCACACAAAATCATATGGCACAAAATTGAACTGTATAATTAGAAGGTAAAGTATTACCTTTTCCAAAATTAGTCCATAGACGATCTGAGATCGCCTCGAGCATATATCTCTGTCACTTCACTTAAGTTCCGGACTTTTCTATCATGGCCGGAACTTCCAAAAGTCAGGGGAGACTTCGTTTTCAGAAACCCTAGAAACTGATTCATGCCAGGCCCTGTCGTTGCTGCTTGTATCGCTGCTTAGATGATGGAACCCTGGCGCACTTCTCCATTGTGGACAAATCCAATCTGCTCAATGACAAGATGATGCCGTTATCATTATACCAATCTTCATTTTTCAAGTGTTCAATCGAAAATGGGGTCATTGATGACAAAAAACAGACTGAATCTACGTTGTTAGGTAAGACAAGATAAACGGTAAGCATGTTAAACAGGTAGATAACATGCCAAATTTTTTTGGTACGTGGCCTGAAGGTTGACATTCCCTTGTGAGTTGGGACCAAATACGGTATAAGGAAAGAAGCAATATTCTTTTTTGAAAAACTTGGGTCCGATAATGGAAAAGAACAGACGATTCTTTCAAAATTCATTTTTGTGAAGCCGCAAGCGCCTCAAACACTGATAAATTGTCGAAAATCTTCCAAAAGTGATTTGATTCATCACTAATTTTACCAAGCAACTACGCAAGTTTACCGCTTCGAAATATTAAAAATTCGCATTATCCGGATATAAACTGAGGCTCTTTTGAAATCAATATTATGAATATTCATAACCGAAAAGTTTACATAATGATAATTTTTACCGAAGACTTTCACAAATTGGAAAAAAGACGCCGCTATCAGAAAGGGGAGAAAAAAGCTGATTGAAGGAGTTCTTAGGGCGAGCCGATTGATGTTATATGAGGTTTGCCATGAATGAACGTAGGATTTCTTAGCATCGGAAAATTTTAATGAAAAATTCGAAGAAGGTTATGGATGCCAAAAAGAGTATCATGCTGCGCCTATCCAACTATCATCAAAGCTATTCCAAGATGTTGAAATGAACCCTCCAAAAAACAGTTAAGGGGTATGTAAAAACCATGGGTTGAAATACTGATGATTATTTGTGCGAAGATCTCGAAACAAAATATAATAGCTAGAAAGAGGAAGGTTTTCTGCATTGAACATTGATCAGGCATTTGCTAACATTATTTTGAAGGATCTGAGGATAGTGAACGACACGATTCGGACCAACTTAATTTATCCCCTCGGCTTTTCTATCAAATTTGAAGCTGCGCTGAGCTCGATAGATCTCAGCAGTCCCAACAGAAGGTTCTCCCATCGAAAAACGGGACCCACTCCTCCATGTTTCGAAAATAGCTGTTTTGCTGTATAACGCACAAGCATTGAACTGTGTGCATTGTCTGCGTTAAAAGACTATTTAATGAAACCTACTTCTTCACTTTCCATCAATACTGCGCTCTTTCTAATCTCCAAGGGAGCCGTTTCGATTTCCTTAGTTTTCTCTACAGTTGTTCTAAATCAGACGGAACTAAAACTCGATGTATACATGAAGCCTGTATTTAATACAAACATTTTGTATTTAGCATCGTTGTAGAGAGCAGCGGTATTCGCCTCCTTAATTCGCAAAGATACCAACTGGAAAAAAGTTTTCAAACATGAAAAAGCTGTTGTTTGAAAGCACCTCATTCTGCTTTCGCGACAGCTCTTCCTGCAACCGGAGCACTTCGGCATCTCCAGCAGCTTTTTCGTCCATCAATGTGCGGACCTTCTCCATAGCTTCGTCGTAATCAAATTGGAGCTGAAAACTGTGATGTTAACAAGGATGTAAGACATCAAGCGCTGGGTCACCTGCTCCACGCGTCTTTCTTTTTCTAATGAGCTCTCCTCGCTTCGTGCAGAAGCAGTTCTAAGTTGCTCAAGTTCCTTAGCATGATCGTTTTGGAGGTCATTCTGTTACAAATACATGAATACAGGCTAATCCCTAATGTTGACCGCTTGCCCTCTTCTACTTTCAGACCTCACATCCTGGTCCGATCTATCGCTGGATCGGGTGTTTTTGAGGTTGAAGAAAAACTCCTACTAGCCTAATTTTGCGTTCACTCTATTCCGTACCAACATTGGCCTGCTTTAAGAAACTCAAGAGAAACAGCATGAAACGAAGCAAAACATTAACTCGAAGAGAAGATAGAGAAAGTGAAGCAAGTAAATGGGCGAAGGCAGAATTTTTTTGGTGCTTGATACTAACATTTGATACAATAGTACAGGGTGCGCCAAAATTACCGGTGCGTATTTGCTTTGGGTGACAGAAGGATACTAGACGGGCTTGAGGACGGATCAAGTATGCATCTGTTTTCACCAACCATCATTATGGTAGTACAATAGTCAAACCAGAATTTGGCTGCTTTCTTTCGAAAAAATCTCAATTCCTCTCGTTAGCTAAAGTGTACTCTGTATGCAAGCACGACTTTGAGAATTCCTATAATATCTTTTTGATAACCCTTTCTCTTGCTTCGTAATTGTGCGTGAAGTAGAGCCAGCCTTCACTTTTAAAACTGCTTAGTATGGAAGTCTGAAAAGTAATTTGAAGGGGATTTTTAATTTCGAAAACATGGTTGAGAGGCAGCATACCGAGACTTAGCGTAACTCTGGCTTTCCTGAGTGCGCCTTAGGTTCAGAAAGTGTCTGCTAGATCAGTTTTAAAAAAATTCTAGCTAACCAACTTTGGTAGATACTTTTATGTCTCATAGATAGAGAACTGTTTTTTACCTGAAAGGTTTTACATATCTGAGGCCTCATAAATGATTCTGAACATAAGGTCTTTGCTCGTACGCAGATATTTTTCGCGAATACGTTTTCGCATTTCGTGATAAAACAAATTTCGCAGTTGCAACTAGGCCATATGATAGTACAACTTGTGTTCTACAACCTCAGCTCGAAAGGGTTTAGAAAAGACTTAAGCTCATTCACTTACACAGCAAATTATGAAGATATATTAGGTGGTAAAAAAAGTTCATGGGCACTTGCGAAAATCTTTTCTAAATCGCTGTAACTTCAAGCAGATTGATTCTTTGTTGAAGCTACAAACTTCAATGCAAAGACAATTTTGTCCGCAACCTATTCGTCTTGCTGGCTTTTCAGCAACTCACTGCGGCCCATCAGCAATGCGCAAATGGAAAAGGTATCGCGGAAAGTGACCTATTTGTGCAGGATTGTCTCAGGCCGCATTTAAGCTGGAGAGCTCAAATGTTATATAAGTAGTTATATAAGTCTGCTGCTGTTGGAGAGTATCTAAGCCTTTGAGCAACAACACAAAAAAGTTTTTCCAAAAAGTTTGAAAAATCTATCATTTTTTGCTCCTAAAAATGTAAGATCTTTCAAGTAAGTGACTTTGAAGTCTTGTCGTTCTGCATAGGGTAGACCAAATTTTTGATTACCGCGAACATTGTTGGGGTAATGCCTTACACATCTTCTGGACCCACCATCCAGACGTGGCGATCCCCGCAGAAGCGACGTCAGCTGCGAAAACAGTTACAGTCATAGGCAAGTTCAACGGCTTGTGATTTCTGAGCGCAAGTCGCAAAACACGAGTGCAGCTGCGGATCAGAAGTTGACAGAATTCTCAATCAATCACCCATAATTTAGGCGAAATTTTTTGAATGCACCAAAAAATGGCCATAAAAGAGAAATTATGAAATTTTTGTGGTTGGAAAGATTCTTCTTTTTGATGTGCAGATCAAACACGTCTTGGCTTCGATAAAGATTAGAAGCCATATTGAAAACTTTAGGCTTCCCACTACTGAACAGTATAAAAAACTTGGTGTCAAAGTTTGACCGAGCGCCGAAAAAATGCGCTTGAAAATGAAATTTCCAAAAGTGCCCGAGAACTTTCTTTACAACCTAATAGAATGTCCATTTTTGCTTTTCTTGAAAGTGCTGGTCTGATTCTTTTCATTCTCACTTCTTGAGAAAGGTCTTTTTGAATTTTGTAAAATGCATTATGTAGAGTATGATTAATGCCTTCTATGACTCAAATTTGAACTTGTATTTCTCAGTAGTTTCTTCGTGGCACTGTTTGTAGAGTTGGCGCCTTTAATTTTGGCGCACCCTGTACATGTAAGACACAGAACAGATTTGGCAGTCGTTGCAATTTTCAACTACAGTATCCACGCCGCCATTTACAGGGTGCTCGTGGCGGGATTATCTGGTTTCAGTGAATTTGAGAATGAACGGCTGCCAAATCGCGACTCTGACATACAAAGAAAGCTCCAGATTCAGCCTATCAGAGCAGTATACTAACTTGCGGTAGAGCGATGAGTTCGATGGTTCTAACTTGTTTAAGGCCATCATCAGGCCTTTTGGCACAGTAAATACTCTGATCAGATGTGTGCTGTCACTCCATTACATATATTGGTCCACCAATTTTTCGCTACACAGCTGTCGTTCATGATTTCGTTAAAGTTAGAAAGAGTATTTGGAAGCAAGAGTTTCCATATGCGTATGAAAAATTTGTGCTTCACATCCTTGTTGCTTCTTTCCCTTTGCTCCTCATTTTGCAAAGCATTCTTTGGTTCCCTTAAGGACCGGCCATACTATTCCAAGAGGTGATTTCAGTGATTCCTGTAAATCCTGCAACTCCTCTGATTACGGCTTACGATGTGCCGCACTATGGAACGCTTTGCGAAGCTGAATATACATTGATTTTTCGCAGTATACAGTGTTGGGGTGCAAGAATAACAGGAATCGCAGGAATAGTATGGCCGGTCCTTCAGATTGTTCCTCCGCCAAAGATGTAATGCTGCTTTCCATAATGACATCAAGAAGTTTTTATTTTGCACCTTATGGCGGTTGAAGGGATTTTCTCTGGCTTTTAGGATAAAGGATAAAAGATTTGGCGTCTTCAATACCCACTGAGGGCATGCGCCGAACCCACACAATGGCCTCATAGTCGAAGAGGCAATTGTATGCGTGCGAGCCTATTACAGTGATATGCGGGGGCCAGCCGTTCCCAAGTCAGTGCTTTTATCCTCCCAGATTACTTTGGTACTAATTTACCGGCCGCGGAGAGTAGAGGGCTTGGTTTGCCCAGGATCGGGGATAGAACTTGAGTCCAATCTGGTCATAGTGGCGCCTCATACCACTACGCCACTCGTCTCCCTTCCCTGGCTTTTAGTGGTGCAGAAATACTGGCCCTTGACTTGCACTTTCTTTGTGGGGGAGTCCACCTATAGCAGTTTCCGATTAACACAGTTTCCGATTATCAACCTCAGGTGCTGCTTAATCTAGGACAAAACGAGTTGTATTCATCAAAAAGGTGTTTATGGCTCGAAAAGGCACTTAAACAAGGAATATTGATTCATGCAAAGCTTTTCAATCCTTCAGAAGGGACGGACTACACTCTACAGAAGCTCGTTCATTAACAAAAAGTGTGAGAAATCCTACAAAAAGGTTGCAAAGAAAGGATCTGTTGTCCGTGACTCTACCAGCTTTCATCATATGCCTCAACGGTATTTTTGGCACCAGCTCAATCCATCTCGCTGGTTTACACCGCGCAAACTGCCATTCTCGGAACAAAATTAGTTCGATATGAAATGTTCTAGTAACTTAGGTCGTCCTTGGTAAGAGGTATAGAATAAAGGTTCCGGTCAAGCGGGACCAGAAAATGCATGATAGAACGAACCAGAAATTAATGGCAACGTAGCAGCCCCCTCCCCTCCCCCAGAAGTGCCCCCCCCCCCCGCTATCGACCTTACCAATAGAAAAGTGATTACCAAACAATCAAGGTAGGTAGTTTGACAAGCAAAAACTTCTCACGTGATATGAAGTGCAAGCGCGAACCTGGTCGACTATTTTGACTTTAGCGAACTTCACGGGATGTCAGCCGCTCGTTTACGGTGCTCCCAGCACGAAAACCCTGTATATGCGGCGGGGACGGTAGTTGAAAATTGCAACGACTGCCAAATCTATTCTGTCATATAAGAGCTGGCATACCCGGCTCCGCGTCTTCTCGATACTACACTATGACAAATATCTCCATGCCTTACAAGGAGAGGATACTTAGTCGAAAGCACCGATCCAGATGAGATATACATCGTCATGACCCGCTCCGCAGCTGATTTCAAATCTGGCAAAATCAGCTGCGGAGCGCCTTTGGGTGAGGAGCTATGACGTTTTAAGAGGCAAAAATTGAATGGGTAAAGAGAGTGAAACTGATTGTTACAACATGTATATTTCGCAGATAGACTCGTTTTAAATGTGAGTATAGCAGTTTCTTTGCGCAGAATAATCTGAAAGACATCACTCCCCATTCGAGTCCAACTGGAGACTAATGCGTATAACTTTTTTCTTTCCTCGACTTCAAATTTTCTTCACAAAAACAACCATAACTCGTTGCCCAAAGGCGCTCCGCAGCTGATTTTGCCAGATTTGAAATCAGCGCTCCGAGCACTTCCAGATGATGTATGCCTCACCTGGATTTGTGCTTTCGACTAAGTATCCTCTCCTTGTTAGATCCGAACATTACTCTATCCTGACCTCACCCCTATGTGCTATCACACTGCACCCACTATTTTTTCGATCAGCATGCTAAGTTACCCCCGTAACATTTTCACCCCGAAGCTCATAATTTGAAAAAAATATCGATAAAATTGATATCGAACGATGACGGTAAATATCTCACGACACTCGCCTCTCCCCGAAATGTATGTGTCCCAAGTCTGGTTCCGATCGGTTCAGAAACAAAAATTTTTATTCATAACACACGTATAGGTCCTTTGCAAAATCGTGACGACAGATTTGACTGCGGTCTTTGCGCCCACAGGAGTAGAGAATATCATATGAAACGGGGTCACCTCAAGTCTCAGCTCAGTCTCTTCCAATGTCTAATTACTGTCATATGTAAGCAGAAAAACTACTATTTGAGTGAAGATGAAACCTAGAAATTGCGGATGCCGGGCTGCGTGCCTGTCGCGCGCGGCCGCGCCATCGTCACGATTTTTCGAATACCCTTTATCCAACATACACACATACAGGGCTTATCAAATGAAGTGTTGCTTGCCCCAGCATCTCCACCCCCGCGCTGGACTGCGTCTCTTCCGCAGAACATGCTCCATAATCACTTTCAATCAAATGAGGCTCCGCCGTTCCCACGTTCGCCCTGGGAAAGTACTCAGAGAGCATGTTAGCCGAAGAGACGGAGAGTCTAGCGCGGAAGTGGGAATGCTGGGACAAGCGACACTTCATTGATAAACCCTGTACCATTCATTCTCTGAATGAAATACGAGCACGTCCGATTAACGAGTCTATGGGCGTGTTTTAGCGCGTTCTGGATGATTTACTCCAAAACGCTTAGAACGCGCGCACAAACTTGTTAATCAGATGTACGCAAAGCGTGCTCGTGTTTCTTAGTCATAGAATAAATGAAACACACAGACATATCGTCGATTCGTTGACGCATGGGCTGCTTAGATGTCGCGGACCAAGCGCGGTGCAGTGAATTTTTGCGGAAGCACATCCTGTACGATACAATTGGTACAGGGGCAAACATTTTAACACGCGGCGCGTGCTGTGTTCAATGGTGCGGTCACTGATTCGCCGTCAAACAGAATTACAGTCGAGTAGATCTTTCGCTTAATATAGTGTGCTTGCAATGAAGCTGAATTTAAAAAAAAATTGAAATACAAATAACTGCGCCCGTGACGCCGGCCAACTACGAACGCCCATAATCGGCCGCGGAACTGGTGGGGAAACTGAGTCGCGCCCCAGCGCTAATCGATTGGAGCATGTTATCCTTCGCGCACTTAGACATCTGGACATGGCAGTCCTTCATAGTAACTCTCCTCATCATCTGTATTGTTGTGCAGCAACGATACAGCACAATGAGGCTGATGACTAACTAATCACTTCGGAATGTGCACATTGTAGCGCCTTCAGCTTGTTCTGATCATTAGTCAAAAGCTTCGACTGTACTGGCGCTTCAAGAGTCTTGTTCACTCTTCAGAGATCATAGAAGCAGAATTGCTGCATTCGTCGCAACCTCATATGGCTTCTTCAGCTTGCATAAGGCCGGGTATGGATCACCTCCTCAACAAGGGCGGTTGTATTGTAGCGTTGTAGAATCGTCGCGTTGCGAGGCTTACATGTTTTCAGATAGTTTTATTTGACCATACAACTGACGTACCATTTCAGCTCGGTCAATGGCAGTTGCCACTTCAAAATTTCATAACGTAGGACTGAACATACTTTTTCATTTCTTTGAGATTCGGAGTAAAGTCAAGGGCGATGCATAGGGCAAAAAAAATTGAGCACACCAGTACTGCAGGTGTTACTGGCCTGCAGTACCGCGTGCTCAATGCTGCTAAGGCACGCAGTTGTCACTGGAGAGGAACTTAGAATCTGCAGTAGATAAGCATCAACCGCAAACGTCATGACTATTGTATGACGGTAACCGGGTCCGATTTGCAACGCAGGAGACGAACATTTTTGACCTGGAGTTCTATCTATAGTGTCTTAAGCAACAGCATGTGCTGGCACTAACACAGCAAATCTGATGATTTATAAATCTCCAGGGTGGAAAAGTTCTGATGGGGATCATCGCTCAGTCAGCTAGCTTATCTTGAAATGATGACTAGCTACCAGAAGTACCAACAATAATACTAAGATGTTTAGAGGTAAAACATAGGAACCGGGTCGAATTCGTAGATGTTATGTTCGATTCTGCACTAGGTGCTTGCTATATTTAAGGATGTCGTTCTGTACTCGATGACTATATTCTTCAAACTTTTTTAAACCCAGCTGACATTTATAGAGTCACAATATATAGATGTTTTGCAAGATAAACATCCACCAGAAACTTATTTTTACAGCATCGCTAGATCTGTTCCATCTTGTTTCTCGGATCAACTGTGGTACTGATGCTGAACTAGGATTGGATGTTCAAAGCTATAAACCAGGCTTAGTTCACAAATTGCAGTGGTTTTTCGACTCACGTACAAGCGCTGGCTCTTCTCACCGCCTCATGCCTTTTGCCATCAGACTGTGCTTTAACCCGCAAAAGTTATGTAGAGAAGTAGCTAGCTTCACAAGAACTTCTCAACGTTAACACCAGCACAAACTCAAAATGCAAACTGTCATGTTCGCTCAAGCTCGGCAAGCTGTAAACTTGTTAAAAAATCTTCTTAAGTTATTGACTACAGCCAATAACTGGGTACTAGAAGTCTTAAAATTTCAAAGGTTCGACCTTCTTTGAATCTTGGCATGGTAATCTGATATTGATTTTTGCGTCTCGTTGCACGTTTGAAATGCGATCTGCCCGTTTGTCCCGTTCTATATTTGCTCATAAAGACTCATAAGCTCGACAGCACTTCTCTGGCCTCTACGGACCCTAGCACTTTTAAAGTCAGGCCCATCATCAGTAATGTAGGAGGCCCTACGGATAGAGTGGCATGGCTCTTGAATAAAATTATCTCGCCTATTCTTCAACATGTTCCCGCGCATCTTGCCAATACCAACATGTTTTTAGAAAAGTTGCGATCTACAAATTTCGGTCATAGTTGTGTAATGGAATCCTTCGACGTGACGTCGTTATACACAAACGTGTCCAATGAAGCAGCCATGGGGGCAATTTTTGAGCTTCTTTGTGAGCATCAAGGGACCATCAATCTCTACGGTTTCACAACGAGACAGATGATGACGCTTCTTCAGGAGTGCTTGGACTGTAACATCTTCCGTTGGGCGGGGCAGTACTACAGGCAGATAAGAGGATTAGCTATGGGACAGAGGCTAGCCACCACACTAGCCATTGCCTTCATGTCCAAGGTAGAAAGCCCGGTCCTGGATCTACACCCTTTTCTTTACTGCCGCTACATAGATGACTGCTGCATAGTGTGCTCAACTCAAAGGGAATTAGACACCTGCTTCGAGCTTCTCAATCAGCAGTCATCTCATATTAAGTTTACTAGAGAAAAGCCCAAGGATAGATGGCTCCCATTTCTCAATGTGCTTGTGTATCTATGGGAAGGAGAATGGAGAACCAAATGGTATCGCAAACCTAGTAATAAGAATATTTTGGTTCATTGTCGTTCAGCGCATCCTAGATCAATCAAAAGGGCAGTCATCACCAACATGTTCAGAAGGCAAGTAAGATTGCATCAGGCACAGAGGAACGTCTGGCATCAATAAAATTGGCGCACGACATGGCAGAAAGCAACGGATATACCATGAGAGAATGCGGCCAGTTTCAAGCTCGCGTGGTTCGAAGAGCGGCAAATTTGTCTGATGATATGGTCCCCTTTTGTCTGCCGTATGTATCGGAAGAGTTACGTAGAACGGTGAGAATCTGTCTACGTCAAGCTGGTTTGCAGGACTCCGTAGTTGTGGATATTCCACCCTCTAACCTGAAGCGGCGGCTAGTGCAAAACCGAGCATAAGATCGCCTTTGCCTGAACACAAACTGCGTATGCCCCTATGGTAAGGATGGCGACTGCACTGCAACCGGGGTAGTTTACCTGATAACATGTCTCTCGTGTAATGAGGTGTATGTTGGGGAAACAGGGCGAGCGCTTTCAGTTCGGATCAAGGAACATCTGGATGGCCTCAGGAAGTCAAAATCCTCAACGCCTTTGGGAGCGCACCGCCAAAGGAGCCACGGCGATGCTATGTTTGATATTAAGGTCACGATCTTGTCGTACGAACCGGAAACTGTAGCTCGCAAAACTCTCGAAGCGTTTTGGATAATTGCAAAAGGCCCAAAATCAAACAGGAAAGAAGAGTGCATAACCGTGACACAAGAGCTCGCACCCTACCAGACCTTAAGTAATTTTGATCTAACTCAGTAAGGTTGCGTTGGCGGGCTGCGTTGGCGGGCCCTCGGGCCTTAAATATGCGCAATATTCGCAGTGGCCAATCACTTCCTCTCATACGGGTGGTCTTGGCTCCAAAATCGCTGTATTACGGTGAGCGTTTGCTTTGTCTTTCCTCACATATAAAAGGATAAAAGATTCGGCGTCTTCAATACCCTTTGGAGGCATGCGCCGAACGCACACACTAACTTCATAGTCGAAGAGGCAATTGTATGCGTGCGAGCATATTATAGTGACTTGCGGGGGCCAGCCGTTTCCAAGTCAGTGCTTTTATCCTCCCAAATTTACTCTGGTACCAATTTACCGGCCCCGGAGGGTAGAGGGCTTGGTTGGCCCAGGGGCGGGGATCGAACCTGTGTCCGATCTGGTCATAGTGGCTCCTCATACCACTACGCCACTCGTCCCCTCTTCCTCACATATAGGGCTCCTAAATTGCAGAGTCGTTTGCACCAGCGGTCGCGCTACCGCGTCGCGCCCGTGCATTTTGCCAGCGCCGGCGCCATCGATCGAGGCGGCGCCATTGATGCCCGGGCGCGACGCGGACTAGAAATCTTATGTAGAGTAAAAGCAAAAACGATGCTCTATCGGAGTCATTTAATTCACTTTGTTTGCTACGTGCGCGAATCGAGAAGATAACGTGCTCCAATCGATTAGAGATGAGGCGCGACTTAGTTTCCCCACCAGTTCCGCGGCCGATTATGGGCGTTCGCCAACTACGCGCGCAAAAGGCTGGTATTACTGACGTGGCTACTTGTTCACGCGCAAATTTTACCGCATATCACCTTCAGTGCAAGCACACTATATAAGCGGAAAATCTACTCGACTGTAGCTTTACTTATACAAACTGGTTTTTTACGTACCAAAGCAGATATATTTGTTGAGGATTAAGCTAACTAGTCAGTAATAAGATACCCTGTGTTAACACATTATAAGCAAAAAACAAAGAAAAAGATTTGTTCCGCATTCAAAAGAAACTAACCATTGTCGATTCCAAAGAACTAATCCTTTTTTGCAAAACAGCAAGAGAGTCCACCGCCTCTTGCAACTGCAACGATAGCTCTGACTTCTGAAATAGACGATCAAGCAACCTTCTTTCTGTACTTTTATCAAATGTCGTCCACGTAGGAAAACTTAACTATAAAGTAATTACCACGAAACTTACCTCCTTGTTGAGTTCATCTATTCTGTCATTAAAATCAGATCGCTCCTTATCAAAGTCCCTAGCGGAAGTGACTGATTTTTCCAACTCCTGCAGTTGCGAGTTGATTCTGAAGTTGCAAGATAAATACGTCAAGAGTGTGCATGCGATCTCGACAACACCCCATTCGATAAACATTTGTTTAGCAATACATTTGAATAGCGTTTTCTTTTACTGATAATGGATATCAACCAAAGGCGAGAACCTTCCTATCCATCAACTTTATTTTAACGAATTCATCCGGCTGCTTTTCTTGAAGGAAGTTCGCAGTCGAAATGTTCGATTGAGGTGTAGTATATACTCGGACTTGGGGCTTGGGAGATTAATACTAAATGTCCATTAGCTACGATGCGTTATTCTGAAGCGAGTTATAGATCTCTGAAGCTTTTGCTCTAGAGAGCGCATAGCATTTAGAAACGTGGCTATATGGTGTAGTGGTTAGCGGTTCGGACTCAGTGGTAACCGGTTAGTTCCTGAATCCACATTTTTTGCCTTCTTTAATTCTATTTTTCACCTGTTCCACGTGTTTTTGGAGCAAAAAATGACACATACGGCTGATTAAGCCCCAATAATTACAAAACCTGCCATGTCATTCTCGCAAGAACCTAATAGCACGAATTAATAGTGTGTCGTAATACAACTTGACTAATGCATCCTGAAGCTTTCAAAACACCGCTATATTTCTGTTTTCCTTATGAACTGAATCCAGGGTGCTTGTTGTGAAATCAATAATTGCAATGCTGTAATTTCTATTCGCCATGCACGTGAAATACCACTGCTTCAAACATTTCGTCATTTATCGCCTCCGTATGTAGGGGTCTGCATGACCGCGAGAGTCGGAATTGCGTACGGCCATTGCGCCGCGCATGTCCAATGCCACTGAGGCAGGTGCCAGACTTACCCTGTTCGACTAGTTCGTCCGGTTCATTCATTCGCTATTGGTCACATCAATGCACTGAGCAATAACAGAGGGGTGAAGCGAATGAATCTGTTGAACAGGGTAAGTCTGGCAACTACCTGAATCGTAGGACGGAATCGGACGTGCGCGGCGCAATGGCCGTCCGATTCTCGCGATCATGCAGGCCCCTTTAGTTAGTTTTTTGGAAGCAATTTGATATGATAGAGATTTTTGGCAATGTTTGTTTGGTCACAGCTTAAAGGATTTTGCATATGAAGTCATTGGTTGGAAAATGTCGTTGAAATATTCATTCTGTAAGCCATAGTTGCTTGCTTCAAAAACACATGAAACAGGATTATAGAATCTGAGAAGAACGCAAAAAACCTAGATGCCAACAAGACCCGAACCCTCACCGATCACCTGCGAGCCCGGGGCAGTAGCCACTACCACGTTTGCAAATGTTACAGTTCGCTAAACATGCCGCCAAAAGCTTCAGGGGCTATAACTCGCTTCAGAATAACGCATCGCAGTTAATGAGTGTACATTTGATACAGACCTCCCAAGTCCCACATCGAATTTATACCGCACCTCAATCCGCCACTTGGATTCCTCGAACTTCCCTCGTTAGTTCTAACATACCGCGTCTTCTCCTCATCCCAAGCGTTTTTCTCTTGCCGTAACTGTTCCACCTCTCTAGTTAACGAGTCTACTTTCTCACCATACTCTTCTTTTGCCTCCGACAGACTTTTGATCTAAAAGGCCATGCCATTCTTCGTGGAAGATTTAAGCATTACATTATCCAGCAGCATTCAAAAAACCTTGGCAAGAAGTTCGCCTTCTTGTTGCTCTAGTGTCTCAACTCTTAATTCTGCTTCAGCTTTCTCTTCCTTCAGTTCCTCAATTTGAGTTTTATACCTAGAAAATGGTCATTTCAGGGTAGACTCAAACATGTGAAATTAGGTTACTTTGTTTTTTCTAGCGACATATCCAATTTTTCTGCCTCAAACTGGTCGATTTTGCATTTCAAATTGTCTATCAATTGAGATTGATTTTCATTCGCCTTTTTGAGTTCAGCTATCTGCAATTTGTAGTAGAAGTTGCTTTTAGTTGTGAGCGTTCATAGGCCTACCTCAAAATTGAGTTCGTCATCCTTAGCTTGAGGTCCGGAAGTTCGATATCTAGCATCGTCATAAGCTGCACACAACTCTATCTTGTATCCTTTGATCTGTTCCTCATAGCTGAATGGATGTTCCTGATTGAGAGTTAAGCCTGCACCTGCTTAGAACCTGTCTCTTTCTGCCAACCACTCTGATTTCTCCTTTTTCAACTCCTCTACCCTCTTATTGAGGATCTCAGCAAACTCGTTTTGACTTGCTTGGATTGCCGTAAAATCTGCTTCCTGTAAATAAGTCTCGGAACTGACTCAAAAAATAACTGGAAAAATTGGCAACTCGACTGAACTGAACTTACAGCAAGTTGGTGCGTTCTCTCCATTTCCTGAATTTTTTGTTTCAAACTATGTGTTTCCTGCTTTAGTCCCTCAACTTCCTCAGCGTTGAATGTGGCGCTAAAATACATTTACTGGTCAAGCATTTTTGGTATATAACTCCAACTTCAGTAGTTAATTTTGGAATGGTTCATGCGATGCTGTGTCACCTTCTCAAGCTTGCGTCAGATTGTCGAATGTATAAGTGAAGCTTTCCCTCGAATGTAAGCTCAGGAGAGGTATGTACCAATCTACCGCTCGGATAAGTATTCCTAAACAGGTCGCAATCTAGTCAAACGCGGGTCGCCTAAGCCCATGCTGCGCGAACGTGGGCACCTGACCGAGCAAGGGCACTATCGGGCAGGATAGGGTGGGTCTGCAGCGCCTGATGACTTCCCCGCTCTCGTTTGTATAAACGGTATGAAACAACGCCTTTTTGACTATGGTCGAAAACGTTAGTAAATCGAACTATTCATTCACCAAAGAACGAGTAAGATTGTTAATTATTATCCTGCAATTTGTCTGCATTGAGATCTGTTTTTTTTTATCTTGAGATTTGCAAGAAATCAAGACCCCAAACTGGAGAAGACGAACTCTAACTCTTGCAAATTTCATATTCAAATCATATCAAACGTCAAATCAGACATCAGACAACTCGCTTGCAACATAATAATTATCAACTACTCGTTAATTTGTGAATAAATAGTTCGATCTACTAACGTTTTCGGCCACCTAATCGAAGAGAGGCGCTATTTCACTCAGCTTATATTCAAAGGAGATCGGGTAAGTGACCAGGCATTGCAGACCTACCTTATTATGCCCCAGGGGCTTTTGCACGGTCAGGCGCCCACGTCCGCGCAGCATGGGCCTTGGCCGCCCGCGTTTGATGGACTACGACCTGTCCGGGAACACTCACCCGAACGAAAGATTGGTACATACCGCCCTAGAGCTCAACATATCTTTATGTCCACGACGAGTAGAAAGCCAAAGTTACAGTCGAGTAGATTTTCCGTTAATATAGTGTGCTAAATTTGCGCATGACCAAGTAACCACGCCAGTAATGCCAACATTTTGCGCAATGGGCGGCGTTCCAGGCGTAGCTATTTATTTACGCGCAAATTTTACCGCAATCACCTTCAGTGCAAGCCATACTCTCGGTAATAGAGTCATGTACTCTGATTACCTTTACTTTGAGGGTCATGATAGAACACAACCTTCACCTAAAAAATAGGTTATCAAAAAAGTAATCATATTCATTCCGATATAGTCACAATTATAACATCCGGGGCGAAGCCACTGAAGCAAAAATAGGGAATTATATCTTTAACTTGTGTCAACGAAACCAAGAATTTGCGGCTTTATAGCCTTTTTACGCTAAATAGAAGGCTTTTGTGAACGTCTCCCCAGAATCCAAGACAACATTTCCCACTTAATATGCTATTTGACCAAAATTGAGTTTAAGAAGTTGGAGATGAATAGAAAGAAATGCGCTCAAATCTTGCGCACAGACTCGCCCACGAACGAGGATCACAATGCGGGGGGTGCAAAATTTGAAGGGCGCACAAAAAACTAGGTTGGCTTTGAGGCGCATTTCGACTTGGTAAGTACAAAACTCTGCGTTTTCAAAACTAATTCCTTTCTTGTTTATCTTCTCTTGATAATCGTTACTTCCAAAACGCGGTTGTTTTTGAAATGAACGAGAGGAAAAATTAGCTTTTCCTCGTTTACCCCCATGTTGTGGATTACGTGGTCCTAGAACGAGAAAACCTGCAATGCCGCCAAATGAAAGGTTTCAAACATATTGCAGCGTTTTTATCTCTTTTTTTCTTCTCTGGTATTATATGAACAACCTTCACTTTCCGTGAGGGGCAGATAATCGAACAAACCTTCACTTTTGAGGCCCTGTTTCTAGACTATCAAAGGTATGGTGCAAGCACACTATATTAAGCGGAAAATCTACTCGACTGTACAAACAATCAACCTTCTAAATTAGATGATAACTGGAGGTGCCTTGACTAGCGACGTACTATGTCATGCTGAGGTAATTAGATCTCCATCCGTTACAGGAATTTTGTCGCGGCTAGCGATCCAGGCATTCCTCAATCTATGGAGGCGGAAAGCACAGATTGTTCTTATCCGACGATTACAGTAGCTAATTTGCGCGTTGCCACAATCGCCTCACCTCTCCTTGCTGACGCGTTGCCATTAAAATGGCTATATAATGTGGGGCGCCTTATTTGCTCGCTCGCTTGCCCCTCTCGTCTATATTGCTTACTTTTGTTACGATCTCATCCTTGCATTGTCGTGCATTGAGCTTGCGCACTGGAAGTGTTGTTCTGACCAAGCGGTTGAAGCGTTTGCACATTGAGTTTGGGATAGTTCAAATGCACCGTTCACCCTGAATTGGGGGTCTTGTGCTTTCTGGCAGCTTATGATAGTAGGCATCCTATTAAGCCAATGCCCAAAGCGGTGCAAAATGAGACGAGAAAATTTCTTTCAAATAGCGAAGATGCGTGAGGATCCCAAGTCGGCACCGCCCCTTCCCCTCCAGTAATGCCCATTCATCCATGGGCGCCCATCTAATTACCGTTCCGGAAAGCAGGCTTGCGGGTTCTTCGAAACGAGATTGTGGGGGTTTTCATGCATTCTCGACTTCATATTCGGAATCAGGGACATGTGAAGGCCCGGAACGATCAAAACATGGAAGTCGAGAACCTGGGTGGACGGTGCCTTCAAGCGCCTTGACGCACCATGAGGAAATCGACCCTTTTGGTGTTGATGAACGAGTACTGTCGGGAGCAGGGAAGGTGGTGCCGCCACAAAGCTTCGTTGCTGGCGGCGAAGCTGTTGGGTGAGACCTCGCAAATTCATGATTAAAGATAAGTTTAAGGCACCATCCACCCAGATTTTCGACTTCCACCTTTTTGTTGTTTTAGGGTCTTCTCATGTCCCTGATTCCGAATATGACGTCGAGAATCCGCGAAAACCCCGACAATCCCCTTTCTGGAAAACCCACAAACCGGCTTTCCGGAACGGTGAATGGATGGGCGCGCACAAATGGGCGAACATGGATGGGGGAAGGTGGGCATGGATGGGGGTCCTGGTGCATCTTCGCTATTCCAAAGAGTGATTTTCTCGCTTCCGAAGCGGCATTTTGCGCCGCGACTTGGGCATTGGATTGATGGGAGGCTGTTATTATACACTGCCAAAAGCTCAACACACTCAGTTTAGGGTGGACGGTGCCTTTAACACAATGACGGCAAGGCCGATTTTTCGATTACTGCTATTTCGGACAGGAGGCTTTTTTGCTTCGTCAAAATTACGACCCACCCGTGGGTCGTATTGTCCGAGATGGTAGTCTTTTTGGGAAAAGTTCAAAACATGTCCCCGAAAATTCTTCCAGAGGGGTAATCGAGGCGCTGAATACTAAAAAACAATTTATTTCAGTTTTTGGCGTCATACGGTAGGGTTACGGTACGTCCTGTACGAAACCAACACCATAGATTTTTATGAAAAATTCTGTTTTGGAGTTGTTTCACGTGCTGATTACGTTTATAGTGTCCACTTCGTTCACTACTGTCCCACAGTAGTGAACAAAGTGGGGCTACGGTAGCAGTACGGTAGAATTTTCGCAGAAATCAAGAAACTGATGTAAGAAGATGGTATCAAAACTTGAGACTATCATTTTCGTAATCAGCATGCTACAAAACCTATATATGCAAAGTGTGAACTTCCTGGATGAAAAATGCAAAAAATCAATAAAAACAATAAAATCGATAATTTTTTGGGGGGCTAACGTCAGCCTCTTGTCCGCCTCGTATTACTCTTACATCTAAACTTGATTCTCCATAAACAGCATCATTTTGCGAAGAATTTGAGCTGAAAGTCTGTGCCTTATATCTATCAACCGTATACGTACCGTAACATTGCATTACAGTATCCCGAGCCCGGACCACTCTGGCTGGAGCTTTACCTTAGTGCCCCCAATCATGTGCCAAAACCCCGTAGAATTCCATCGTAAACCGGCAAAGATAGCGTTTCATGAATGAACCGCTCTGTGTATTGACGTTTTGCGGGATTAGTTAGTATGGTAGTTTAGTAGAGTATTGTAGTTTAGTTTGATTTCTTTGGTTGTTAATAAATGTGTAATCTAGTCGGCTTTTTTCAATCTCCCATCGGCGTCGTAGTATATAGTTGTCACGGATAGGGGCAGTTCGCAGCAGCCGTTAGGGCGTCATAAACCTTGTTGGATGCGCAACATCATGTAAAAGAACAGTATGGTGTAGCCGCGACGAGCGCATAGCGGAAGTGCCCTTCTACTGTGCGGCAATTCTGCGTATGAGCCGCAGAACGACACATCTCAAAACTAGCACATAGTCTCTCTCAACAGTGATCATTCCAACTTTTGCATAAGGCAAGTTCAGTTAGCGAGGTTTTGTGTTGTTTGCAAGCCGCTAAAATTCTTTCTCATTGCTTCAGTCTGCTGAAACAATGCCATCTGCGTGAGGCATATGCAGCGTGTAACCCTACGATGCAGACATTCCTTTGACATGTGCTGCACTTGTACCGATTAAGACAGACTAATAGAGGAAAACGAAGTGTCAATATAGCCTTGAAAGGAAGAGAAAGAGAGGCTAGCTAGGAAGCGCAGTGAGCGAGCATAATGTACAGCAATACCTGAATAGTACAAAAAGTATACAGTAAGAATCCTTTGGAGTACCCCGCATACTGTTGTTTTCAATGACTCATGCTGCTTTCATGCGACGCCTCGTCAATACCTGGGATGATAAAAGAGTAATAAGCGCATTACTCGATTGATTGAATCGCTGTTCATTCTAGAGTTTTGATGATGCAACATAGCATGCGGTAATCAGTGGCTCAAGGGCAGTGTGCAGATACGGACATTTTCGGTTACTTTGGTAATCCGGTAATGGGGCCTCGAGCAAGAACCATCGCGCAAACCGGGCCTAAAAATACTTAGCAGAGCTTGGAAAGGCCTGTGCACTCCCTCAGACCAAAGAACACCCCTCTCTCGAACGGAATTTCCTACCCTGATACGTTCACATGGCGAGCACCACTGA